AGAAGTGGTCCATTAGAATTTTGACGTGCCCATTAAACGGTCGCGATATTTCGCAGCCCAACACCAGCAGGAAAAAGATCATCAATCTTTATTTTTATTTTGAAATTGCAATCGCCCGACAATTATTATTGAGCTGTTTGTATTGGCCCTTGGCCAGTTAGGTAATCGGGCCAATAATACGGGAAAATATTGATTAATATTTTTTCGAGATTATGTTCTACGACATGTCATTTTTATTATTTGAAGCAGCGTTCTTTAATTATGAAGTAAAGAAAATTATGAAGAAAAGAAAATTATTATTTAGAGTAGACATTGAAAACCACAAGGATCCGTTTTAGGACTCAATAAGGAATTAAAATATATACAAAGCTCTTAATTTTGTGAAATTATCTATTTTTGATTATGATAACATAGGCAGACTAATAAATAGATCAATCAATATTGTTGATAACGTTGATAGAAGCTAGAGGTGTTCATAAAAGCTGTTCATAATCTATTATCACACTGTTCCATATAAGCAGAAGTACATGCTTAGCAACTACAAACTATTCATTGAAAACCTGAGATCAGATGAAGCTTTTGAAAGCATCATTTTAGAAGCAACCGAGCTTGCTTCAGAGATTGACGTGGGAGCTAATTTCGAAACCACCACACCACGTCATCGTGTCAGAAGCAAAACAAGAACGTTTTTGTATGAGGGCCCGAATGAACCTGTTCAAGACCTCAAAAAAAAATATAAAATAGATTTTTTTTTACACTATAGATCAAGCAATAAATGCCTTGTAAACTAGATATAATTTGCTAAATACTCACAGTAATTATTTCATCATTTTGTATAATATTTTTGGACTAAAAGACATGCCCAGAAATGAGCTACTGGCTCATTGCAAAAATTTGGAAGTAGTTTTAACTGATGGAAATTCAAGCGATCTTAACGCCCTGGAACTAGCCGATGAAATAAGCATTGTTTTGTCATTATTAACAAAAAATCTGATGTGTCCAACACATGACTTTCCTATCTAGGTATTACAGGCCTTTTCCGGTTATTTTGTACAACCTATTGCAGCATCTCTATAAATGTTTAGAGGATAAACTAAATATATACATTGTCCACATACATCTACCGCGAAACATTTTTCTATAGATATTCATTGAAAATGAAAATACTGAAAAATTTAAATTTAGCACTTTTCCTACAATTTTTCCATTACGGTCCATTTTAAAAAAATCATGTATAAACAAATATTATAGAGATCGATATCGCAAACAACTTTTATTTCAACAATTTTCATAAAAATCAGAATTTTGCACATTTTGTCAAATTTTTCGAATACGGACCATTTCAGGAAATTTTTACATAAAGCAAAAATTATAGATAATAATATTAGAAGTAACTTTTATTTGAACAATTTTTTTCTTCAAACATAAATAACAGATATATTCCATAAAATATAAAAACGGCCTCCCATAAAGTACCCCCCCAGATGTTCCGACTTTGTCCAAAATCTAATCATTTCACGTCAGGCCGAAATAAAACTTAAGTTTAAAATTTAATGTTTTTTTCTTTACCCATTTTTGAGTTTTCTTCAAATTTCGAAATTTACACATTTTCTCAAATATCTCGAATACGGTCCATTTTAGAGAAATTATCTATAGTATAAAAATTATAGAGAATTATATTACAAACAACTTTTGTTTAAACAATTTTTATAAAAAAAAATATTTTTTTACATTTTGTCAAATTTCGCGAATACGGACCATTTTAGGAAAATTTTGTATATAACAAAAATTATAGATAATAAAATAAGAAGTAACTTTCATTTAAAGAATTTTCTTCCCCAAACGTAAATAACAGATATATTCCATAAAATATAAAAATGACCACCTATAAAGTACCCCCCCAGATGTTCCGACTCTACCCAAAATCTAATCAGCTCATTAGACGTTGGAACAAAGCTTAAGTTTGAAATTTGGTGTTTTTCCGTGTATCGGTTCATGAGTTATGCGTTATACAGACACACACACACACACACACACACACACACACACACACACACACAGACACACACACAGACACACACACAGACATCATCGCGAAAATAGTCAAAACGGATTCAGGGGACCTCAAAACGTAAAAATCCGTCGAAAACTCGAGGTCGAAAAAAATCATGATTCCTATACTTTCCTTATATCTGTATACAGATAGGAAAGTAAAAAGGAAACCCCTGTTGAAGTTCTCAAGTTTATCGCTACACTTAAATTCGAACCAAACTTCAGCATAGCATTAAGAATCCTACTTACATTACCAGTCACTGTGGCTTCAGGGGAAAGAAGCTTTTCAAAACTAAAAATAATAAAAAAATTATCTCAGAACGATGCAGACGCAAAATCGTTTCAATGGATTGGCAATGATAGCTATAGAACACCAAATTAGTGACAAATTAGATTTGAAATCACTGGTTCGTGAGTTTGCCGAAAGAAAAGTTAGAAAAAGGGCATTTTAATTACTTTGGTTAGTTAGAATTTATTTATAATATGGGATATTAGTTTAGTTAGCATTACTACATTTTAATTTTTGTTATTTTGCCTTAAGTGCTAGATTGCTTATTTTGTTATCTGATGATTGAGTTTTTAATAAAACGTTTTTTTCTTTCTGATATGGTCGCATGAGATTTATTTAAAAAAACGGGGGGGGCGCAAAATGTCTACGGCCGGACTTGATATTAGTGTCCTAGTTTGTCCAGGTTTTGACCATTAAGTGATACTAGATGGGAGAGTAGGATAGAGGCTTTTAAGACTTTAATAATAATAATAAAAACGTCTTTATTATTTCCAATTACATATATAATACAATTAACATAATTAATGACAAAATATAGCAGATTGAAAATAAAGGGCGAAGTTTATTTTTGATTATGTTATTGGACACAATCAAAAATATTCTTCCACTCATATATCGGAGGCATATACGACGCCTTGCTAAGCATTTGTGAGAATGAAGAAATTGATAATTTAATAAGGGACGAAGCCTCGGGTTTATTAAGTTGCATTAAACAATTTACATTTTTGTGTTCAATAGTTCTTTCGTATAAAATTTTAAACTGTATTAATCCAATAAGTAAATTGTTGCAGACAAAGAATTGTGATCTAGCATCTGCACTTGATCTTTTGACAAAAAAAAATTTCAACATATAATCAAAATAACGTTTATTCAAACAATTACAAGTACGAATACAAACAACAATTTTTTTGATAGTAAAAAATAAATACAAATCCACGCTAAAGCTAATATATTATACTAGTCAAAATTACAAACTAAAATTAATTTATAAATAAAGCAGCCCCTCAAAAAATTTATGAAAAACTCATACCCAAATAGTACCTAAATGAAAATAAATCGTCAGTTATTTTTATTTTATTTTTTTTTCTTTTCGAGAAGAAGCATGGACGTCCGAAGTGGGGGGAACCGTTGCCCGCATGGCCGTTAATTTTTAACTTATTATTATTTTTTAAACAATTTTTACAGTATTAATTTTGTTTTTTCTACAGACGCCCATGGGAAGGCCTAATTTGCAACCTATTTTCATGCCTTCATTATCCCTTCCATACATAAGTACTACATGGGTATAAAATATCTGTTTTTACCTTATAATTACAACCAGACATTATAATTTTTCAAAATATTTCCAAAGGCTGCAAAGATGGATAACATTTTTTCAAAAATCGAGTTATTATTGAGTCGAAAATTATATAAATATTAATAATAATGTATCAAATTCATAAAATCGATTCCAAACAAAAAGCAACCCAAAAAGGAAGTTATTTATGTACAGGGGGAAGTAGAAAAATTAATTTAATAACTTTCTTATAATTAAAAATATTTGTTACACCCTATATACATATTTTGTTTTCTAATATTATCCATCGATAAGGCAGAACTTGAATATACCGATATCCCGTTTTTTAAAAGGGGGTTTATAGATAATTATAAATAATTATAGATAAAACATAAAACTGAGATATTGAGCAAAAAAAATAAAATAATTTAGACAAGAATTTATTGTACAGCGTCAGCCAAAAATATTACAATTTTTACGGACACTGTATATGCAGGGTATCCCGCTGATATGTCAGCAAACTTTTATGTGTGTTAGGAACATTTTTTGTTTGTGAAACCAATGATATTTTAATGAAGTATCTTTTAAATCTATTAGTGTTTATCCAAAATCACACATAAAAGTTTTTGAGTATACAATATATATATACGGGAAACCCTATATTTACACGGAATCAAACTCACCAAAATCATCCAGTATTTTACAGAAACATTTTTTCATAAAAAAATTTACTGACGAACAGACGAAACTAGCAATAATCAATATTTTGCTAAACAGAAAACTGTTACGTATTAGTTTGAAATCTGGCAACCATGTATTTGTTTAAGCGCATTTGACAGCAGTTATTTTATATATTTTTAGTTAGTAGGTTGTTTGTACTTCACGCAAAATAAAGTGTGTCAATCTCTACGGTTATGTTTTAATTCAAATTAAAATCAAGGTACAAGAGGTTTTTTTGGTTCTTATAATTTTGGTCAGAGATGAAGTCACCCATCATGGTTAATAAGATTGGAAGATTGGCAAGTTAGCCAACAAGTTATCTAACCTCAAAAATGAGTGCGTTCGGTATGAACTAACGGAACGTACTCCAAGCATCAATTGTCTATGTCATGTCACTTGTCCATATTATGTCAAGCATCCATTTTTAGGTTCTGAGTGTCATCAGTTTTGTCTTTTTTATGTTTTATGAGTCACTGCTCATTAAAATTTCTTAAATAAAAGTTTCTACACAATTCAAGTACCTTTATTAAATATAGAAAAAAACATAAAACAGAGTGGGTTTAATTTGGTAATCTTTATTGCTTCATTGTGGCTTAAAAACGGCGTTCAAAGCAAAGATGCTTTAATATATAAGAAAAATGAGATATTGTCAAAGGTTGATCGTTGCAAGGTGAAAACAAACAGTGGCAGCACGTAACCAAAATATTGAAGGTTCATAAATATTAACAAAATATTGACTATTACAAATACCTTTTTTCTGTAAAATACCTACTGGTTGATTCCATATAAATTCAATTACATGTATACCTTAATAATTATTATAATATTGGCTTTGTCTAAAAAATCTTTTAAAATATATACAAAAATCAATTTTAAAATGTTTTTTTTTGTCATTAAACTGGTTTGTTTATACATCGATATCACTTTTCGTCAATTTACTCCCTTCTTCTAATAGTCATAGAAGAATCTTTCAATTTCCAATGTATTAGTTAAATAAAAAAAGGATGTCACTTAAATTTAAAAATGAATGAAAATGTCAATTGGAATTACACAGAAATATATCGATCGGTCTGCATTGTAACACCCTCTATATTTGTGATGACGTTAAAAATCATATTTAAATATATTATTTTTTAAATACTAGTTCCCGTTCGGAACAAACGCCCTGTTCCTCAACGTTTTCGTCTCTTCTGACGTGTACCCGTTAGTGACAGACTTTACGCCGTTCGTATTGCTACTGTGTTCGTACAAAGCCGTTTGGCTCGTAAAACAAATGCCTATCTTCTGGGATCCGTTCTTTTCCACGCCATTTTGATGGACTCCGTTCTGTGGTTTTCCATTTAAAGCCTGGAATTAAAGAAAAAAGAAAGTTCTTTGAGTCTTACGAAAAATCTACTGGTACTTCCAATATACCAGATACTATGGATTAAAATGGGGCGAAACTGTCTTAAAACGAGTCAAAATATAAGTTAAAATATGATTGGTGTCATATATGTTGGATGTAAGTTTGCACCACTGTGCATGTTGGCACTCACTGTGTAAATTGGCAACTGTGGAATGACAGTTCAGTTTCAGCGGTAAAAGATACACACTCAACATATTGGTACGCTTAAATAAAACTAATGAAAACCAACATCTCAGTTGTTTCATTAAAGTAAATATTATAATTGGTACTTTGAATGTACAGTAGAGAAGGATGTTGAGGAAATAAGGATGTTATGTAGATAAGGCTAAGTAGAAAATGATATGAAATAAAGAAGGATGTTAAGTAGGTAAGGATGTTAAGCAAAAAAGGTGTTAAGTAGAAAGATATAAAGTAGAGAAAGAAGGATGTTAAGAAGATAACGATGTTAGTTAAGCAGAGAAGAATGTAGCGAAGAGAAAGATGTCATTTAAAGAAGGATGTTAAGTAGAAAAAGATGTTCAGTAATTGAGATATGAGATGTAAGAAACTCAATTATTGCAAAAGAGAAATATTTTAAGTAGATAATGATATTAAATAAAGAAGAATGTTAAGTAATTAAAGATTTTAAGTAAAGAAAGATTTTAAACAGAGGATGTTAAGTAAAGAAGAACAGAAAAGCAGAATGATAATAAGGCTGAAAAGAATCTTGAGAAGAGAGATGCGAAAGATTTTAAGTAGAGAATGATATTAAATAAAGAAGGATGTTGAGTAGATAAAGATTTTAGGTAATGAAAAATGTTAAGTAGAAATAACTTAATTAGAGAAGGAAAGATGTTGAGTAAAGAAGAACGTTAAGAAGAGTACGATGATAATTAAGCAGAGAAGAATGTTGAGAAGAGAAATATATTAATTATAGAAAGATGTTAAGTAGAGAAATATGTTCAGTAAAGAAGGATGTTCAGATATTGGGATATGAGATGTAAGAAACTCAATTATGGTTAAGTAGAAAGATTTTAAGTAGAGAATAATATTAAATTCAAAAGGATGTTACGTAGATAATGATTTTAAGTAAATAAGGATGTTAAGTAGAAAGATGTTAAGAAGAGAAAGAAGAAGGTTAAGTAAAGAAGAACTTTAAGAACAGCACCATGATAATCAAGCAGAGAAATATGTTAAGTAGCTCAATTATTAAAAGTAGAAAATGATGATAAATAAAGGATGTTAAATAGATATTGAATAAAAAGATGTTAAGAATATTAGGTAAAGAAGAATTTTATAGGAGCACGATAATAATTAAGCAGAGAAGAATGTTGAGAATAGAAAGATAATAAGTTAAGAAGGATGTTAACAAAAAAAAGATGTTTAGTAAAGAATAATGATGTTCAGTAATTGAGGTATGAGATGTAAGTAACTTAATTATTGTTAATTAGAAAGATTTTAAGGGAATAATTATAATAAATAAAGGAAGATGTTAAGCAGGTGATTTTATGTAAAAAAAGATGTTAAGTACACAAATGTTAAGTAAAGAAGAATAATAATCTTGAGAAGAGTAAGATTTTAAGGAGAGAATCATGTTAGGGGGCGTCCATTAATTACGTGAGGTGTTCAAGAGGGGGTGGGGATCAAGGAGATCAAGCTAAATCTTTCCAAATCTCACTTGGAGAAGAGGGGGGGTGTTTGTAAATCTGACGTAATTTTTTTCTAGTAGAAAACGGTGTAAAATTGGGTGAAAATAAAGTAAAATTAAAGTTAAGAATGTTTCTAGAAATTTTATATTACGGCAATATTCTCAAATACTAGTATTTGCCTAGTCTTAAATAAAAGTAATAGAACATATTGTGTTTTTGTCTTTTTTTTAATAATCCAACGCATTTACATCCAAAACACAAATTTTGAAAAATCTTACATTAGATTAGGGGAGGGGGAAGGAATCGAGGAAACTGTTACAAAATCTCACCGGGGGGGAGGGGGGCCAAAAAATCCTCAAAAATATCTCATATAATTAATGGACGCCCTTTCAATAAAGAATGATGTTAATTAGATAAGGATGTTAAGTAAAGTAGATAAGGATGGTAAGTAGATAAGGATGTTAAGTAGATAAAGATAATAAGTAGATAAGGATTTTAGGTAAAGAACAATGTTAAGTAAAAAGATCTTTAGCATAAAAATGTTAAGTAGAGAAGGAATCATGTTAAGTGGAGAAGGAAGAATGTTAAGTAAAGAAGGAAGAACGTTAAGAAAGATGTTTAGTAATTGTGATAGAAGGTGTAAGAAAACCAATTATTGTTGAGTAGAAAGATTTTAAGTAGAATGATAATAAATAAAGATATTATAGTAGATAAGGATTTTAAGTAAACAAAGATGTAAAGTAGAAATATGTTAAGTACAATGATAATGAGTAAAGATGTTAACTAAAGAAGAACTTTAAGAAGAACACGATGATAATCTTGAAAAGAGTGAGATTTTAAGAAGAGAATGATGTTAAATAAATAAGGATATTAAGTAGATAAGGATTTTAGGTAAAATATAATATTTTTAGTAGAAAGATATTAAGCAGAGAAGGAAGGACGTTAAGTAGAGAAGGAAGGATTTTAAGTACAGAAGGAAAGATGTTAAATAGAGAAGTAAGGACGTTTAGTAAAGAAGAACGTTAAGAAGAGCATAATTTAGCAGAGAATAATGTTAATTGGAGAAGGATGTTAGGTAGAAAAAGATGTTCAGTAAATAAAAATGTTTAGCAATTGTCCTATGAGATGTAAGAAACGCAATTAGTTAATTAAAGATTTTAAGTGGATAATGATAATAAATAAAGAAGGATGTTAAGTAGATAAGGATTTTAAGTAAAGAAATATGTTAAGTAGAAAGATGTTAAGTATAAATGTTACGTAAAGAAGAACTTTAAAACAGCACGATGATAATTAAGCAGAGAAGAATGTTGAGAAGAGAAAGATATTAATTAGAGAATGATGTTAAGTAGAGAAAGATGTTCAATAAAGAAGATATAGTATATACGAAACCCAATTAATGGTAAGTAGAAAGATTTTAAGTAGATACTGGTAATAAATAAAGAAGGATAATAATTATTAGTAAGGATGCTAAGTAAAGAAAAACTTTAAGAAAAGAACGATGATAATTAAGAAGGAAAGAATCTTGAGAAAAGACAAATTTTAAGTAGAGAAAGATGGTAAGTTGATAAAGATTTTAAGTAAAAAAAATGTTATGTAGAAATATGTTAAGTAGAAAGAGGTTAAGTAGAGAAGAAAGAATGTTAAGTAGAGGAGGAAAGACGTTAAGTAAAGAAGAACGTTAAGAAGAGCACGATGATAATCAAGCAGAAAATAATGTTGAAAAAAGAAAGATATTAATTGGAGAAGCATGTCAAGTAGAAAAAAAGTTCAGTACACAAGAATGTTCAGCAATTGAGATATAAGATGTAAGAAGCCCAATTTTATTTTTACTTACGGCTGCTTTGGCTGCAGCTGCTTTGGCCTCCTTCCTTGCTTGGTTCCTGTTGTAAGTTTCTTTGTAAAAATTGGAGAAGAGGAAGTAGAACATGACGGCGTGCATTCCTATCCACCATACGAAGGCCTTGGGGTAGTTGCAGTCGATGAACAGTAATTGGAATGCATGGACCATCACCAAGATGAATTGAACCTGCACAAAAACAAGAAATTTCGTTCAAAAAATTTGTTAATATTGTTGAAGAAGAAATATTCTTTCTAAATTTGTTTATATGTATTTCTAACCTTTCATGGATGACTTCTTGAATAGTTGAACGTTTATAGTTATAATACAAGAACGAATCTAGTCTATAAGTACTCAATAACAAGAACTGACTATTGTTTAATATTATTATTATTATGTACTTTGCATCATATTATGTGGTGATTAAAACAAGAACTTACCATTTGGATGGCTGTCAAATACTTCTTCCACCAGAGGTATCTTTGGTATCTGGGTCCTAGTGCGGCCAAAAGGTAGTAGCTGTACATGATTATGTGAACGAAAGTGTTAAGGAAACCAAAGAACGTAGAATGACCGCCTGGAGTGAATTTAACACCAAACCATACCGACATCGGCATTACACCATGATGGATCACGTGTAGAGTAGAAACGTGGTCATATTTCTTACGCAGTACGAAAAAAAACTAAAAAAAAAATTTGTATTTAGAGATAAAAGTAAGAATATAGATTAAGCGTTAACTATCTAAATCTAACGACATTGTGCCAATAGAGAGATGAAAGATGGTATTACTGTTTTTATGTCTTATGTGATTAATGTTATATTTAAATGTGTACTTAAATTATTAAATAACTAACAAAAATACATTCTGTATCTCGAAAATAAAGCGTTTTTGGAGTTATAGGTATTTATAGAATTTTTTTTCATACTTTTACCCAAAGAAGCTCACTACACTATTAATGCATCTCCTCTAACTGCTAAGTTATGAAAGTGTGTAGCAAATAAATTTCTATATAGGGTGTAACTAAATAAGTGTAAAACATTTAAGAGGGTGATTCTTCATTGAAAAAAAGATAGGATCTTTCATTGGAGCATCCCTTGTTAAGATACAGCCGATTAAAGGGGGTACATAAAATTTGTTTAACAATTTTTTTCACAAGCACTAAACAAGTTACAATATTGAAATTAACCTGTTATTTTCTACTACCAAAAAGACACTTAGCCAGTAATTTATTTGGTTTACCCCATGGTTGTAAGGGGTGGAAAACGCAACCCCTAAAATTTCGTTCCAACGTAACTTTTTGTCTTATTATTTGTTTACTATTTAAAATTTTATTTCCGATAGCCTGTTTCATTTTAAACAAAAAATGTCTCTTGAATTTTTTGCACAAAATAAACCAGTTCGCAGTAAAAAATTATTTTACGAACAACTACAGAGATACATCGTCATAAATGCGAACTGGATTTATAGTTTCTACCTGCATTAAATGATTAAAAAGAGGAATAATCAAAACTAATTTATTAATAACAAAACATACAACATGTAGAAATCAGAGTAAATGTTCAATATGTCTACCTTCAGACATTACGCATGCGTCTAGACGTCGGCGCATTGAGCCACGTATTCGCTCAAATAATCCTGGAGTCTCTCTAATTACCCTGCACGCATCGATGATGCGGTTTCTTAAGTCCTCTACATCGCGAACAGGAGTACGACAAATGCTGCAAATGGCCCCAAGTAGAGAAATCGAGAGGATTGAGATCCGGGGATCGAGCGGGCCAATTCTGTGGTCCTCCTCGACCTATCCACTGATTTGCATATGTTTCAGTTAAATGCTGACGTGCTACTTGACTAAAATGGGCGGGAGCCTCATCATGCATAAAAAACATATCCCTTTTGACGCCCAAAGGAACTTCCTCCAGCAGTACGGGATGCATTTCTCTTAAAAATTGAACGTATGCCTCACCATTTAATCGAGGAGGTAGAAAATGAGGCCCAATTAAATAATGACCAATAACTCCGGCCCACACGTTAAGAGAAAAGTGTTCTTGATGGTGAGTTTCGATAATAGCGTGAGGGTTTTCATTAGCCCATATGTGATAATTATGAAAATTAATAATCTTGTTCCGAGAAAAACTACATTCGTCTGTGAATTCGATCGTCTTCAGAAAGTCACGATTTCTTCTAATCATTTCCAGCATCCAATTGCAAAATTCAAGACGGTTCGGAAAGTCTCGCAGTAACAGTGCCTGTACTCGTTGCAGATGGTAAGGGTATAAGAGATGTTCCTTTAAAATTCGAAATACCGTCATATGATCAACATTTAGCTGGAAAGCAATCTTTCTAGTACTGGTAGTAGGTTGTTCTTCAATAAAATTAAGTAGTGCTTCCTCAAGCTGTGGTGTTCTTACTTCTCGATGGCGACCACAATCCTGCGTTCTTTTGTTGAATGAACTATATTCTCGTAATCGTTGATGAAGTCGGGCAAATATTCTATGTGAAGGATGCTGCCGTTGTGGATACATTTCGGCATATCTTCTAGAAGCTTCTAACCCATTCCCCTGCGATAGACCGTAAACGTAATGCATATCAGCCATTTCCTCATTTGTGTATGCCATTTTAATAACAAGTGAATTATTAAAGTAACAAATTACGAACAGAACAACAATACACAATTAGTATTACTTCAATTTCAAAAATTTACAAACTGACAGCTTGATTTCAATGTAATTGTCAGTATCGCTAATAGCGGCCTACTAGATAAATTATTTTCGTATTTTCGTTTTATGGCGATATCTATCTTGTTCGTAATAGCTGTTTGTATTACTAGGGAGGAAAGTGTCACTTTTCCTCCCGCAAGGGAGGAAAAGGCACTTTACTCCCAAGTAATACATATGATTTTTCCGCCTCCCTCAAATAACAAGTCATTTTTAAATAATTTATTTATGAAACTAATAAACAAAATTTATTAAAGAACTAAAATTATGAAGTAGGTATAGTATAAATTATAGGCATGTTATTTTCATTCTTGCATCCTACATATTTTTAATTTGTGGTAGAGTAATTATTTTTCTGAGTAAGTACGAATATGCTTTTCTTCGGCCCATTGCTTGAAATGTAAATACTGTTTTTCGTATTTTTCTTTAGATTTTTGGGGTAATAGAGATTGAACTGTTGCATTAACCTGTTCCAAAATATCCGGTGGTGTATTATTTATATCTTTAAATTCGTTTGAATTACTCATTTTTTAAATATTATTTTATATTTTGTAGATATATTATAGCGTAACACACTTTGAAACTGATCTTTCAATCGACGATAGCATGCTATAATATTTCTGTCCTAAATTCGAAAATCGGATGAATCTATGAATTGAAGTCAAATTATTAATGTAAAAATCGTTAAATTAAAATAACAATTTACTGATTTTTACTATTTCGCAAAATACAGGGTGTTCTATAAATAAACGGTAAAATTCATACTTATATAATAGAATATAGTTTAGGTCGTCAATGCCGTATAAGCTATTTCATTTATGACATACCATGACGTCACTTTTACTTTTCCTCCCTAGGGAGTAAAAGTATGACTTTGCTCCCTGCAATGAGGTCAGGAAATGTATACTTTGGATAGAGGTAGGCGGAAAAATAATTTTTTGCTGCGAACTGGTTTATTTTGGGCATTTTTTGTTTAGAATGAAACAGGCTATCGGAAATAAATTTTTAAATGGTAAAAAAATATTAAGACAAAAGGTTACGTTGGAACAAAATTTTAGGGGTTGCGTTTTCCACCCCTTACAACCATGGGGTAAACCAAATAAATTACTGGCTAAGTGTCTTTTTGGTAGTAGAAAATGTCAGGTTAATTTCAATATTGTAACTTGTTTAGTGCTTGTGAAAATAATTGTTAAACAAATTGTATGTACCTCCTATCTTTTTTTCGATGAGGAATCACCCCTTTAAATGTTTTACACTTATTTAGTTATACCCTGTATATTATACAAGGTAATGAAAATCTCGATACAAATTTGCGTCAATAAAAAATATAATTAACCAGTTATAGGTAATTGTAAAAAATGACCGTATTTTCAAGAATCGATAATGTATTTGATTTAAGACTGTTTTAACTGTAAAAAATTTGCATATCATTAACCACTAAATAATATGGTTATAATTATTTATAGTCATTGATTATTGGCACTCTAAATTAATAGTAAATTATTTAATTATAATTACATAATTACACATCTACATCAAAAAAATAAATAATTTTCCAATAATTGTTATTTAAATTATTTTATGGATATTGATATATTATGATTGAAAATTTTTAAAAAAATGCTTCACTTAAGTGTCTTCATTTTAATTATTTGTAACTAAATTCTGAAAGTACTACTCTGTAAAATTGTAGGAAGTACATAATGAAACAATTACCGACTTAATGGTACTTACTGTATCTAAAAATTCCGTGAACTTGGATATGTAGTACCACCAGCAACCTCTGACCATCTGAAATACGAAGAAAAATAAATAAATAATTTCATAATAATTAAGGAAAAGTTGATGTCATTGGTAGATAATATACATACATGTAAGTGCGACAAAATTTATTGTAAAATCTTTGTAAACAACAATGTAAAATCCTTTAATATTTCATGAATCATTATCATAATCATATTATGTTGTTGTTTATCGGGGTTTTTTTGCCAATAAAACAATTATATAATTATCTTGCAAATTAGGGAAATCATACTGTACCACAAAAAAACATAGTTTCGTAATATTAGAATCTACGCTTCTGTTTTTTTATGGAAAAAATTAATTTAATGTCAACACAATTTTAAAATATTGAAACATGTTATTATTCATATTGTGATGTTTGTTTATTTTCAAACAACAGTTTATTTATTAATAATTTATTTAAACACTTATTTATTTTAAACAATACTATTTTAATTAATATATACTTCGAATGTCTTTAAACTGATCACTATTTATATTTACCACTGTCTATCTACTAATTACTATTTATCTTCACTGTCCATATATCAACTGACGATGATGGCTCATCCACCATTATTTATATACAAATTTCTAAAATTTGGTGGCGTCGAGAAGCTTCTCCACCAAACCAGAAATATTTCGGACAGTCCAGAAATATTATCTCGTCCTTTCTCGAACATCATCGAAATCACCTCCGCCATAGTCGTCCCATAGGTTTGGTCTTAAGGGGTTTAATTATGTATAATAATCGGACAAGTTGAGCCTTAAAGGCCAAATAAGACAGAGAAGGACTTGTAGGGTTAGAGCATGACTGAATAATGAAATGGCTCACATAACATTGCCCCCTCCTTAAGAGATACTTCCTCCTGGAACTCTTACGAAACTAAACTGGAATGGTTGTACTTGCAACTGAATCCTCTTTTACAATTTCCAGTTGCATGGAAGTAACAAGGGACTGTCTTCGCTGTAACCTGGGCACTGGGCGAATGGCTGCAGACCAGTATCTGAACTCCGGTATCTTGAAAGATGACTTCCACCATGTTCCTAATGATCCTCCCCAATCCAGTTGATTTCCTTCTATCTTTGGCATGGCTAGTTTCTGTACATAGACTAAGTAATGCTTCCCATACATCCTGATAGGTGGATCGATCTTGGAAAGTGTTCTTCGTTATTAAATAGAAAAGATAACGCGACCCGTCTAGAAGTTTTAAGGCTTTTCCAGGGGCTGGTAACTGACATTGAAGTTCTACCAGTCGACCAAACTTCTTACGGAACACATATGCCAGTCCTCGCGCGTCGTTGATGCTGGCGGAAGTACTATGGACCAGCGAGTAGTCTTTCGGAAGCGAGAGCAGATCTTGTTGTTGCTCGGTCGTAACACCATATCTGGCTTTTCCAGTACTTCCATATGCACCCATAAATTCTTCAAAGACAAGGTCTGGTGTTTCTTGAAGTTGGTTTACTTCTTCTTCATGGTCACCCTCAAATGGCGCCAGCCTGTTTTGGTGCACTACCTTTGGTTTACCGTTTGGGATCTTACTTATACGGTAAATTACATCATTTATTTTATTCCTTATGAGGTACGGACCTTCCCAAGACCTTTGAAGCTTCGGAGAATAACCCTTTTGTCTTTTTGGGTTATGGAGCCAGACTTTTTCGCCTTCCTTGAAAAATCCCTCCGTAGCTAGAGTATCTTACCGTTTCTTCATCCTGTCGCTGGCGATTAGGAGATGCGAGCGAACTAATTCATGCATGTCGTCCAGCATAATCTTCACCAGCTACATCTTCTCCAGGTCGGCATCCAAACTCGAGGTCGCATGGTAGTCTCATCTCACGCCCAAACAAGACCTTTGCTGGTGTTTGGCCTGTTGATTCATTGACAGCGGATCTATAAGCCATTGCAAAGAGCGAAATATACTGATCCCAATCTCGCTGATGGTTTGAAACCACTTTTGACAGATATTTGCCAATGGTCTTATTAATTCGCTCTACCATTCCATCAGATTGTGGGTGCAATGCTGTGGTTCGAGTTTTCTTCATGCCTAGCCTGTTACAGATTCCACGGAAGCCATCTTCCAGGATAAAGGAGTCCTACTGAGCCCAATATGATTTAACTACTGGAGAGAATTTCGATACTTCTTGCCAAGTAGGTCGACGATTTTCCTCTTTCCAGTCTCGTAGCTTCTTTAAAACGGAATCATTCTCTTGTTATTCCCTAAGTTTGACAGGGGCCCACTCATCGCTGACAACCGACGTTCTTCGTACTGTAACTTCTTTAACAGATGTGGCCAACCCCTTTCCAATCAGAGTTCCTTGACCAACACCTTTATTGCGCTTCGAAGGTTCTGCCATGACAGACGTTGCCTTCTCTACAGTTCCTTGCAACCGCCTTACTCGTATGGTTTCACTACTTTCAGGTAACACCGTTCCTTCCTGTACAGCCACCGACACAGTTTTTCCATTCCATTCCAGGCAAAAGTAATGAAAATAATAAATTCTCTCCCTTCTAATAAGTATTGAAAATATAGAATAAAATAAATAAAAGAAATAAATAAAAGATAGAAAACAGCAATTTGCATCTTTGAAAAGAGATTAAAATTTTTTATAACACGGAAGATTCTTATTTTTAATTTGACAACTAAAATTTACAAATTTTCTGTAATATTTTTTTGTTAAATAATAGTAATAAAAATAATTGAATCTGAAGGAAAAATGTTTGCTTACATTGACAAATCAATAAACATTTAATTTAAAGAAGAAACATCCTGTGTAAGATTAAAGGTTAATATATTGCTAAAGATTAATATTAGCTATTATCTTTGTCTATTTCATGAAAGAGGTATTTTACCTAATGGTTTTATGGATTTACCTGTAATTTAAATTTAAATCCTTGACGTCATTATCTTATTTTCTTGATTTTACAGTTAGACACCTATCCTGTTATTTTGATAATTTGATATTTTATTTATCCATTCAATATAAGTTACAGTGAACAATTAATAATTTTGAAACATTTTTCACTAATCTGCAATATTATACAGCGATTTTTTTTTAATTTTTAGATATTTTCGGTAAAATAAAAAAAATAGAGATGTTTGTTCTTTAAAACTGTTTTGAAATCGTCTGTTACTTTGACCAACGTAAAAAAAATCACTTGAATTACAATTTAATACGATTTTTATCTCACAAAAAATAATATACGAATTAAAATGAGGCAAATAAAAGATTTCGTCAATAGAGTTAATAACAAATTGATACAAATTGCTTTTCTTTTAAAATTTATTTATGATTGATTGATGATACTTACTCTCATTGCTAACGGTGTCCTAGAATAATCAACCGGCTGGCATCTGTAACTGTAATGCGTCAACCAACCTGCCACACAACTCTGAAAAAAAAAACAACGTATTTTATATTCAAAATAATATTTAAATCATTAAAGAACAACAATAAAAAAAGGCATGATTATTAAAATTATTTTTGACATAATTCTGGTTGCTACAAATCTCATTCATTTGGATTAATGCCAAAAAAATCGATTAACGATATCGGGAAGGCATAATCATAAGCGGATATTCATATGAAAGGGATTTTATACAAAATATACCGTTATTCAAAATGGGTTACATATTTATAAGGGAAGTTTTAACTGTCAAATATAATGTGAGTTATCTTATTTGCCACTTTTAAAGCTGGTTAGAGTTATAGCAAATTTTCAAAAATCATAAATCACGAAAAATCCAATTATATTTTGTGAGTAATAGATTGCGCCACCTAGCAAAAAACAAAAAAACATTTTTAAGTATTTTTTAAGGTCAATTTTGTTGTAAGAATTATATTTCAAAATTATAGGACATACGGTCGGTCACCACCCTTAATGAATCACCCTGTATTTTAGGCAGCTAGTTGGAAATTTGAAAGAGAAACGTGAAAGGGAAATTTAAGAAGAGCTGCGAATTAAAGAGAAATATAAAATAGAGAAGCAAAGGAGCAAAATAAGAGACAACAGTGAAAAATACAGTGAGAGAGAAATAAACAATTTGAAAGAGAAATTTGGAAGAAATGTGAATTAGGAGCGTAAAATGTGAAAGAGAAATTGGAAATATAAAATACGAACGTAACAGAGAAATATGAAATATGAAAGATAAAAGTGGAAGAAAAACATGAAACAATTAAATTTGACCAAGGAACGTAAAATGAAAAAGATAAATGTGAAAGATAAATGTGAAACATAAATGTGAAAGATAAATGTGAAAGGTAAATGTGAAAGATAAATGTGAAAGATAAATGGGAAAATAAATATGAAAGAGAAATGTGAAAGAAAAAGGTGGAATAGAAATGTGAAGTAGAAATGTAAAAAAGAAACGTAAAAGGGAAATTTAAAAAGAGCTATAAAATAGAAAGTGAATGAACGTAAAATGTGAAAAAACAAATATGAAATAGAAACGAAACGAAGATTATAAAAGATAAGGGTGGATGAAAAACGTGAGACAAAAATTCAGAAGAAATATGAACTAGGAACATAAAATGTGAAAGAGTAAAATAGTAAAGATATGTGACCATGAACGTAAAATGTGAAAGAGAAATGTGAAAGCAAAATATAATACAGAAATTGAAGGGGAAACGTGAAAGTGAAACATAAAAGAGAAATGTCAAAGAAATGTGAAAGAAAAAAGTAAAATAGAAATTTGAAATATAAATGTGAAAGAAAAATGTGAACTAGGAACGTAAAATGTTAATAATAGACGAGAAATATAAAATAGGAACATAACGAAGGAATATGAAAGATAAAGGTGAAAGAAATGTGAAAGAGAAATGTGAAAGAGAAATGTGTAAGAAAAAGGTGAAATATAAATGAATATGAAAAATCTGGGAGACATATAAAATAGGAACAAAACTGAGAAAATGAAAGATATAGATAAGGGGGCGTCCATTAATTACGTGAGGTATTTTTGAGGATTTTTTGACCCCCACTCCCCCCCTGGTGAGATTTCGTAAGATTTTCCTCAACTCCCTCCCCCGTCCCCTAATCTCTTGTGAGATTTTTCAAAATTTGTGTTTTGGGTGTAAATGCGTTGGATTATTAAAAAAACAAACACAATATGTTTTATTACTTTTATTTAAGACTAAAAATTTCTAGAAACATTCTTTACTTTAATTTAATTTTCACGCAATTTTACACCGTTTTCTACTAGAAAAAAAACGTCAGATTTAGAAAGATTTAGCTTAATCCCCTCCCCCCCTTGAACACCTCACGTAATTAATGGACGCCCCCTAAGTGTCCATTTGAAGGTCTCGATGAAGGTCGCTGTTTCTAATGTACTAAGGAGCATCGACAATAATGTTCCTCAATACTTTGTTCTGGAATCTCTGGATTATTAGAATATTACTGTAGGTGGTACAACCCCAGAGCTGAATGCCATAGGTCCCAATTGGTTTGAGAACTTGTTTATATAATAGAATTTTGTTATATGTAGATAGCGTGGAATAACTACCAAGTAACCAGTACATTTTCTTGAATTTTATATACAACTCTTGACATGGATCTTCCAGCGAAGTCTAATGTAATACCGAGATATTTTGCCGAGTTAGCATAAGGGACCTGAGCATTATTTACGTTAATTGGTATTCTTTGACTATTTTTGTTAGTAAAATTAATATTAACAGATTTCGTTTCGTTTAGTTTAATAGCCATCTAATTCTTCCACTATAACATATAAATACAAAAATTAAGTATTATATTTATATTCCCAAACCCAGTCCTTTATACCCCAAGCATATGTCCTAATATAATTAAAGAGGAAGAGAAAAATAAATATTTGGAAGTGACAAATACTAGTCATTAAGTACCTACCAAGTACATTATATTTATATATAACTGAAAGAGTAATTATATTGCATAGATTTTTTTAATATAAAAAAAAAATTAAATTTTAAAAATATTTACAGAAAATTATAATAAGAATCAATAAAAATAAAAACAATAATAATAAAATAAATAGCAAAAAAAGAAAACGTATAACATTTTCGCCAGAAAGGAATACAGCAAAAGATGGAGTTAAACCAGTAAGAGGAACAAGAGAACATTTTTTACTGTTGTTTATTGAATAATCTTTTTTTATGTTCCTTTTTAAATGATTTAATAGAAAGGGTAACATCAGTTTCAACAAATAGGTGACCGAATTGAGATATTTGATACGAAAACGATCTTTTGTATATTTCCTTATAGTGTTTAGGTATATTAAGTGTATTTTTAGTTCTAAGTTGAAGATTGTAAACATCTGTTCTATAAGAGATTTACTCATAAAGATATGATGAAGTATTAAATTTTAAAATTTTGTGAAATAAACAGAGTGAGTGCAGAATCCTTCAATTATACACCTATTTCCTTTAATTCGTAAAATATAGAATGCGGCCTCTTGATACCGAAAATCATACGCATACAGGAATTTTGTACTTTTTGTATTCGACCCATATCATTGCTGTCAATACATGGTTAAAGTGTGAAAGAACTAAAGAGTCACATAGTGATATTTTAATGGAATAAGGTAAACTATGTCTATGTTGATAGCTGTATCATTTTTAAGGAAGAGTATGCTCTTTTTATTTTCTCACTTACATGTTTTTTAAATCTTAATTTGGAATCGAAAACTACACCTAAATTTTTGCAGTTGTCACTAAATTGTAAAGTATTTTAAACTAATTTAATATTGAAATGAATTATACCTTTTGCTTTCTGTTTTGTTCATTTTCAAAGACTATTGCGCATGATTCTTTTCCATTGATAGTAAGAAGATGATCATTAGAATATGTAACAACTGATTTTAGGTCTTGATTAATTTCATTTTGCGCTTCTAACATATTTTCTATTTTAAAATGATGGTATATTTACGTGTCATCAGCATACATGTGATATTTACAAAATTTTAATGCTGAAGGAAAATTTGACGTGTATAAAGAAAATAAAAGAGGTTCTAAAATGCTTCCTTGTGGCACTCCTTGCATAATATTTATAGAATTAGAAATATCGTTGTTCAACTTAACACACTGACTACGGTTAGTTAAATAAGAAAAAAAGAGAACATGCTGATTCATTAAAACCAAGGTAATGCATAACTGACATCAAAATTTGATGGTTTAGTATGTCAAACGCCCTGGAATAATCTATTATTGACGCTAGTGCAGTCGCACAGCTATAGCCTTGACGAAAGCCAGACTGGTACTTGGGTCTTATTCTACTTGTAGAATACTCCTCTTAAATGACTCAATTCCGTAGGACGTTCGGCTTTTTTTCAGCTTACCGGAAAATACTTTTTAGTTATGCATTCATTAATTATATGCCTAATATAAGGTAATATAAATGGACAACACAGAAGAATTATATGAATTTTTTAGCCATCAGATCCAAATGCCTTAAGGTGCGTCCTCACCGAATCAACACTGTCGATAGACTCTGTCTATCGACGTTATCGACTTTGTGTGTACGTGGCAATCGACGGTGTCGATCGACATGTCGATTTGTTTTCCATCGCCTGTTGGTAAACATGAAAGAGAAGTCGATCGACTTTAGTGTGTGGACTTGTTTTCGACGTTCGACATTCGACAAACTGTTAGTACTGAGTACTAAGTATTTTGCACACCTCCACAACAATTTTGGAAAACCCCTGTTTTGAAATTTTTAAAAGATACATCAGTGAGTGGTACGAATCCCCAGTTGATAAAAATCGCAACGTTACAGCAAGACGCTCCGTTATGGGAATGGCAGGTCTATAATTAGTGTCTTTTTTACAAATTTTTGGCCCGATTTCTTGTAATAAATATTCAAATTCACTTTCCGACATTCGAAAAAAAATTCTAAAACTACCATTACACCTGTATTCAAGGCTCAATATGTTGACGTCATCTTTTTTTTAATCTTCTATCAAATTACTAGCATTGTATCTAGTTCTACTTTGAAGACTTTGTCGAACGCAAAATCTTCTTTTGCGTGCAAGTTTTCTTTTTTTAATCGTGGTAATAATATATGCGGCAGAAGCAACTATAATGTCATCTTCTTCAGACATGTTAATTTCGACTGATCGACAAACATTTCTGTCAACTCTGGTGTGGACAGATGCAGTTCTGTAGACTTGTTGATCAACAATGTCGATAGACAGAGTCGATCAGCAGTGTTGATTCGGTAAGGACGCACCTTTATATTTAATATTTTTTAGAATGTTATAAATATGTCTGATTCAGATATGATATTAAAATTAAGTAAGGAATTCACAGTGCTTTTTACTTTGTTTGATATGGTTTAGAGCACTCGATGGACTGACTAAAAAAGAGTTAGATTTATTTACTTTTCTTAATACTACTGGTAATTCTTTATTACATTTGCTTCCAATGTCAATATTTTTTAAAACTAACCATTTTTGTTTAGTTGTAGAATTATTTAATTTAAAATATAGAAAAGCCTCTTTTTCTCTTTTCTCAGTTCTTTATAATAATTCCAATGTGCTATTACTTTTGTTTTTCTATATTTTTGTAATGCCTTATCCCTTAACTTTTGCATTAGTTTATCCATGGAGGGTTTTTATTTTTATCATACCTAATGATTTAAAAAACTATTCCCTAAATTTATTTAAAAGGAAAGTAACTCAAATGCTATTGGACATAACTCAATATACTCTAGAGGAGTTTTATGATTTTTTACAGGCTAAAACCTTTATGATATGTCTTACTGTTTTTATTATTTTTTTTAAATTTTATATCTGCACATATCTGTGCATATTTGTGTATTTTTAATTTTTATTTGTATAATATGTACCTATCCGATGTCCATTAGGATCCAAATTGTATTTATGGACCAATAAAGAATTTGAATTTGAATATAAATGTAAAAGAGAAATATAAAAGAGATATAAGATACAGGAAAGAGAAAAACTAACCATTTTTATAAAAATTTATAAAGTTTCTTACCTCATAAAACAGCCACGAGCTGAATATAACTTGAAATAAATTATAAAAAATTAAAAGCGTCTTTAGTTCGAAAGGTTTCCGACTTTCCATAAATTTAGGTCCTAGAACTTTGACGATGTATACGTATCCTAAACAGATGCCCAATGTGTAGAACGGCGAACTCATAAGGAACCAATCGTTGACTCTGGGATCTGGAAAAATAAAAAAAAATGTTAATATAATTTTAAACAGTTTTGGAATTTTTTTATATTATTTTTTGTATAAAAAAACTATTAATAATCTTGCTAATGGTTAAATTAATAACGGAAACTTTTGAATAATTTAAAAATTGTGTGCTAGAAACATTTCCAGTCATTATATTAAAATACATAATCAATTTTTCAAAATTACAAAAAAATTACTGGTTTTTTTTAATGTTAATATAATAAAATTGTATCAAAATATCACATTTATATACTCAAACTGTAGATATTTAACCAATAAACATTTTTTCATCTATGAAAACAGACAATATTAAAAATATAATCATAAAATTAAAAAAAAAAAACGATGATGCTAATTTTAAAACTTGCTACATTATTAGTCTGCCATTCACAAAAAAACATATTTGATTTGCATAAAAGGGGATTCACAATTCACCAATTCAATGTAATGAATCAAATTCTTTAATATATACAGTATGTCTTAAAGAATTTCAATTTTGATCAACTTAAAAATTTAATTAATAAAAAAATTCATACTCTAAATTTTTAGAAAGATGGAGTATCACTCGAAAGGTTTTTAAAATTCCTTCCGATTGTGGGACATAAAGCTAAAGATACGTTTAACAATTACATTTAGATATCGATATCTCAAATTGTAGAGGATAATCTTATAACAATGCTGCAAATATGTCAAGAATTTATAATGGGTTGCAGGTCAAAATAAAAGAATTATGCCCAGAGGCATATTATATTCCATGCTCTGCACATTCATTAAATTTAGGTGGATCTTCAGCCGCAGAATGTTGCATAGAAGCAACAGCTTATTTTGATCTATTGCAGGGGTTGTATAATTTTTTTGGAGCATCAACAGCTCTATGGAATGTACTGCAGTCTTTTTGCAACGAAAATGTTGATTGTAATCTGTCAATTTTAGAAAGTTTGTTTTCAACCAGATGGTCAACAAGGGATGATGCAAGCAATTTTTTTTTCATTACAGTTTAGAGTTTATTTGTTGAGTTGTCTAATAAAGATTTATTAATTTTTTGTTCGTGTTTTATTTTTAAAATATGATTTTCTATAATATTTAATACATTTATATACATATCTAAATTTCTCATATCTCTCGTATAAATATCCTTTTTGTTTTGATAATGAGCAGGGCAACGTTCTACTAATTCTTGAATATTATTAAGATGTAATTTCTTTGGCCACAGTGCTGCAACTTTCAAAAGTTTTGAAGGTGTTGATTTCTCATTATCAGCGAAACTTGAAGATGTTGATGGATTGCTTTCTAGATCAGTTTCTTGTCTGCTGCTGATACTTTTTTCAAGTATAGGTTCAGAATATTGGGATTCAGCTGTATTAATGTTGTTATTAATATTTGGCAAAGTAGATTCGGATTTTGAAAAATATGGGAAATTTTGTGGCAGAACACAAACATTTAATCTTCACGACAGGATTTTTAAAAGGACTATCTACAGGATTGAAGGTTCCTTTTGGTAAAGGAAGAAAGATAGAAAAATAGAATTACTAGAAATTTTGAAATTAAATAAGCCTCCAGTACGTTATGTAGTGGATAAACTTGCAGAAACACATGGTATTGATGTTGTGAGTCTTCCTTTCTATCACCGCAAATAATAATAATAATAATAATAAATAAGCTTTATTCAAACCATAGTGAATGTATACAGTCATAACAAGAAAATTATAAATTAAATAAAGCTAAAAGCCGATAAGCATAAAGATACTTGTTTCAGCAAAAAAACAACAAAAATATATGTAATTTCACAGATTGCCAACAAACATAAATTAATGTAAAACTTATGTACTAACTAGATGAATGATTATTTGATCGTTTTTTAATACCTATCTAATAATAAAAATATCATTCTAATAATAACATCAATAACATCAATAAAAATAGATAATTTTAATTATAGTTATAGTAAAATATTATCTTAGTAATATAAACACATTCAAAAAACATAAAACTTACACAAATTGATCAGAATATGAATTTAGCACTGTGGAAGAATGTTGAATGTATTACTCAAAAAGGCTTTGGAAAGTAATTCTCGGATTCTGAATTTTAGTTTTTTTTTGAAAATAAATTTGCTTAAAATATATTTAATTTCTGCAGGTATGGTGTTGTAGAGTTTCGGCGCTAGAAATGTAAACGTATGTTACGTAGAAGTTTTTATTATAATTTGTTTTCTGGCGAGTATTATATTTATACTCTGAAACAGTTGCAGAATTTTTACATTTTATATGGTAATAGGAGCAGGCGTGCATAAAATATAATTGTCTCAAGTCGAGTATGTTTGTTTCCAAGTAAAGAGAATCAGGTGGATATCTAGATGGTTTATCACACATTATTTTAAGAAATTGTCTTTGAATAATTTCTAAACATTTTATATGGGATTTAAAGGCAGTCCCTCAAGCACACATTCTGTATCGAAGATGACTTTCTACAAGTGCATAATACAGTTTTCTTAAATGTTGTGGAGGTAAGACTTCTTTAATTTTTCTAAATTTATATAAAATAGTTCTCAATTTATTTAATGTGTAAAATATATGTAAGTCCCATTTTAAGTGAGGGAGGATCTATAATAATACCTAAATAGTTTATTTGTTTAACAGGTAAAATCATCAATTCTCTGCTTCCACTAGCAATGCACAATTTCTTAAAATTTGGAAGTCCTACTGAGTTACAACTGAAAGGTAAATAGTTTGTTTTTTCTATATTTAGTGTAAGTAATTTGTGCTGTAACCATTCTGAAATAAGAGTAAAATCAGACTCTGCTATTAATTTTAGACGTTGCCAATCATTTTCTTTGTAAAAGATGGCTGTGTCATCGGCAAATCCAATAATTTTGCCCTTAATTTTCAATTGGAATAATCCATTTATATATATGTTAAAGAGTTTGGGTCCTAAGACAGAGCCTTGCGCAACTCTATACTCTATTTCCTTCTCCATGCTGATTTCTTCGCCCACTTTGACTTTTTGAAACCTTCCTGTGAGGTAACTAGAGAACAGTTGTAGACAAGTACCTCTAATACCAATATCCTCAAGAGACTGACAAAGTAGAGAATGACTCACATTGTCAAATGCTTTTTTAAATCAATAAAAATACTTAAACAAGGTTTGCTCTCATTGAGTGCTTCAGTAACTTTTGTGGTCAAGGATAATATGGCGTCCTCAGTTAATGTATTTGATTTAAATCCATATTGATTATGAGATAAAATATCATATTTATTTAGAAATTTTTTTAATTTTTCCTTTAGTAATAGTTCAAAGATTTTTGACATATGAGTGACTAACGATACAGGTCTGTAGTTGTTTACGTCCGTTTTTTCACCTTTCTTAAATATCGGTACAACTAATGCAGTTTTAAAAATTGAAGGAAAGCAGCCCACTTCAATACACTTCAATACACTTATTTAAAGCGTATGTTAATGGCTCCAATATATACGGAACTAATAGTTTTAGTACTTCAGCTTTGATACCGTCACAACCTACTGCTTTATTATCTTTTAAATTGTTAATTATGTCTCTAACTTCTCTTGGTTCTATATTTAAAATAAAAAAGGAGTTCGGAATGCGTCTTGCTTCTTCTTTATATTTAGGATCTAATTTATTTTTTTCAGCCAAAGTTTTCTCTACTTTGGCAAATCTGATATTAAACTCATTTGCTATTTCTTTTTCTCTTATTAGAAGCTCTCCTGATTCACTTTCTATTGACTTAATTTTATTAGAGTTGTTATTTTTCCCACTTATTTCGTTTACTACGTCCCATAATTGTTTAGAGTTATTTTTATTTATATCAATTTTATTTTTATAGTAATTAAATTTAGTTTTTTTTTATTAAGGAATTTACTTTGTTTCTATGTTGTTTATATTCTTCAGTTAATGGCAAATTATTTGGATTTTTAATTAGTTTTTCATATGTAATTAATTTTTCTTATTTATAGATCTAAGTAAAGAAGATGTTAACCAAGGTGCTATTTTATTGTTTTTACGTTTTATTTGTCTCTTGTTTGTGCAGAGATTAATACCATTTTGTATTATTTTAATGAATTTACTAGCTGCTGTATCGGGATCTTCTGCCTCATAAGGTAAGTCCAATATTGAACTGATATGGGCGATTCTACTATAAGCGATTCAACCGATTTGATTGATACAGTTTCCGATAAGTTCCTAGTGACATAGAACTTAAAATTAGACAAAAATTAAATACAACTTTAGTGAAGTATAGAAGAAATATTTTAAAAAAGACGAAAAGACAACAATAAATACCAATATTTGTTAAATGAGCAGCAGTGATTACCCTACGACTTTTTTTTCAATAATATATTTAAAAAAAACCCATATGGATCCAATAACTTTATGGCAGATACTGTATATAGGAATAGAATAATAAATCATTTACTATTATTATTCAATATTTAGTTCATAAAAAACAAAACATTCATTATTTATACAAAAAATATCAAAATGATTATAATTTAATCGGACATCCTTTATAATCCTTTATAGTTAAATATATTTTGCCCCAGGACTACGTGTGTGTATACCCATACGTAAAAATTCGACCTAGACCTCCAAGTGCGTCGTCTCGACTTTTTCCTCTGATCGCAACAACACAGGTGGAGCAATTATTTAATATTTCGATAATTTTTAACACAATTCTTGCACAACCGACTAAAGATTCGTCCTCGTATCAATGTTGGCAGGTTTTTGAGAATAACTAAGAAGGTCGTCGAACAAGGATTGCAGGATTTTGTTCGAAATATTTGGTGTAGCAATCGAGAAGTTAATTCTGCACATTTTATTTATAATCGTAATAGATTCATATTTATAGTTCTAATAATACATATTAGGATAGATCAGAGATTTCTAAAGTAGTCGATACTGACCCCTTGGGGTTGAAATGGGTTTCCCAGCCGTTAAAATAAACGAAAACTCATTTTGGGGGTTGACGGAGTCT